TGATCTGTAATTTATTCATGACAGGATGGAAGGTTATAAAGCCGGTAAGTTGTAGCCACGCCAGGAATAAATTCCTTTTTAATTTTATGATGTTTTCTAAGAATCACTTCTTGCATTCATGTTGAAAGGTTGAAAGTTTTCATGATGCCTTGAGCTGCTTCTTTATTCATAATTCAGGAAACAGTGCGTGTCACAGCATTGATTTTACAAAGGCGCTTATTGTTCAGGTAACGAAACCTTAAAGTCAAGCCTCTGTTCGTCTAATGACAAAGGAGGAATCATTTGTAAGGTAAAGTTGTCACTCTGGTTAATTAATTAAATACCACACCCTTGAGACATGGGGGGTGGAGGTATAGCTCCACCGTTCTTGACCTCGGCAATAGATAGAGGTGAATTGTCAGCTTCGGGCTCCGACCGTTTTATCCTCGGGGTTGGAGGAACCGGTACCCGTTGAATAGGAAGTTGAGTGGGCCTCATAACCGGCCTGGGCGCTGTGTAGTATAGAAAAGTTTCTTACTCCTGCCGAGAGTCAAATCCCCTCCGTTCAAGACGTAGCCCGACGCTATAGTGACTGAGCTATCCCGGTTCATAAGCCTACAGAACTAAGAATGGGACGAAGGTGAAGACTAAGATGAAGACAAAGCGTATACTAGGAAGAGAATTTTGAGATCAATACAGACCTAAGCGAAGGAAAATGGGCATGAGATTTGGTAAGCGGAGTATAAGAAGTCTGTATAAAGCAAGTTCGCTCATGACAGTGGAAAGGAATATCAAAATATATGAGATTGGCAGGGCATGTAGGATGAATGGTGGAGAACAAGAATGCATGTAGATAATGTTGGGACAACCAGAAGGAAAGACACCATTAGGAAGACAATGACGTAGTTGGGCGGATAATATTAGAATGGACCTTACAGGGATAGGATGGTGTGGTATAGACTGGATTCATCTGGATCAGGATAGAGACCAGTGGAGGGCTCTCGTGAACACAGTAATGAACCTTCGGGCACCGTAAAATTTTGGGAAATTCTTGAGTAGCTGAGCGGTTCACCGTTTCTCAAGGACTCAGTTTCATGAAGTTAGATAGACTATCGATCCCGCAGGATATTAAACCTTGGCATTTTCTAACCAAATTTTACGGCATCACAAACGGTATTAATCTTGAATGAATTCGCTCAGTGTAATGTCCAGATGGGGGAGGACTTTTATGAATCCAGTGGTATAGGTATAACATATATTTTCACAAAGCATTTTTCTTCCCCACAGTATATAACAGCTGCTCTACTAAGACCCTATAAATTGGATACCTCGGTCGATATAGTGACGGGCTACCGGCTGGACGGTCAAGGTAAGTATTTTTCTCTACATCATAGTGTCCAAATTGGCTATGTGACTCATTAAACCTTCCATTCAACACGGGACTAAGGCATCCGGGAAGTGAATCCATTGCCGACATAAAAAAAATGGTGGAGTTTTACCTGCATCCATATGTCTTCATGCCTTGGTGTTTAATTAATTGAGCAGTAGGACAGATTTGCCTTTCTATCTTTATTTAACGACGCTGTAAATAGTTCAGGCTTTATAGTGTTGATGATACCTGGTAAGGAATGATGAATTAAACAGTATGTGGAAATAAGTGGTCGTGATCTATTTGAAAACATTTTCCCCGACATTCGTCTGGAGAGACTGAAGAAAATCACGACAACCTCAGTCAAGGTAGTCCGTGTCCCTGCTTACATTACATTTTCACTGTAAAAATAAAGAAAACTTTCATAAATACCACTTGAAGGTATAATAACCTTAATAACATCTTCAGTGTTATACTCTATACATAAGATATTCAAGTAAGTGATAATAAATATTAAAACAATAATTCACATAACAAAAAACATCAAAAACAACTTAGATTATTATACTCTCGTCTACTGATAAGAAAGGCAAAAGCACCTCTGTTAGCAACTATAGGCCTATATCCTTACTCAGTAATTTTTCTAAAATATTCGAATTTATTGTTCATGAACATGTTTCCCATTATCTAAAATCAAAAATTAGTCCTTATCAGCACGGCTTCTCTAAAACAAAATCCACAAGCACTAATTTGGTGACTTACATTGATTTTATCTCCCCTATAGTTGGCTCCCAGAGACAAGCTGATGCCATTTATTTTGATCTGAGCAATGCATTCGACCTTGTCCCACATTCTCTTCTTCTTCACAAGCTAAGTGCTGCTGGGCTTTCTGGTGGTTATGTAAGCTGGTTTCGCAGTTACCTATCCAACCGGAAATCCCAGGTCCGTGTTTCTGGTGTTCTTTCCTCACCCTTTGAAGTTCTCTCAGGTGTACCTCAGGGATCTGTCTTGGGACCCCTTCTCTTCAATGTGTTTATTAATGACATGTGTGATGCAGTTGCCCATTCTAAGTGTCTGCTTTTTGCTGATGACATCAAAATTTACCGAGCCATTAGTTCCCCTCATGACTGCTATCTACTACAGTCTGACGTTAACTCTATACAAGGTTGGTGCATTGCAAACTGTATGAAACTCAACATCAGTAAAACTAAAGTTATATCCTTCACCAGGAAAACCAACTTACTTATCTACGATTATAAACTTTTTCAAACGTCAATAGCCCGGACCGATTCTGTAAAAGACCTGGGAGTGTTTATTGATGCTAAGCTATATTTCCATGACCAGGTCAATTACATTTTCTCTCAATGTGCGAAACTATTGGGTCTAGTTCGTAACATTACCTACAATTTCTCTTCGCTAGACTGTATGTTCAGTTTGTACACTACGTTAGTTAGGTCTAAACTTGAATATGCGTCCGTAGTCTGGAATTCGATTACGTCAACTGATGCCAACAAGCTGGAACGCATCCAGCAGAGGTTTGCGGCCCTTTGTTTTAAACGTTTCTTTCCTAAAGTTCACTACAATTATTCTCTTGCTCTTGAGGAGTTAAAATTACATACTTTATGTACTAGGAGACATCGCCTTGATGCTCTCTTTCTTATTCAAGTTTATTTTGGCTCTAAATTCTGCCCTTCTGCCCTGGAAATTGTTGGTCTCCGAGTTCCTGCTCGGTATATCAGAGATTTTGCATTGTTCAATGTTTGCTCCTTATTTAAAAATTGTCCCTCTGCTAGATGCGCAGCAGCTGCTAATGTTGTCTGCAGGGATGTTGACGTATTCGGAGCCTTGAATATTCTATCCAAACAAATTTTAAATATAGTATAACTGTTAATATTTTATTATTTGCATGTCCAGTAAAACAAAATGAATTACGTATATTATTATTATCCTCTGTAATTCTATATTATTCATTTCTTAATTAAATATTTATGTTTCATTCCTGAATTCGTAATAACACTTAGTTTAATGATAATGAAATTATTATTACTGTCATAATTATCAGCTATTTGTTTGTTTACTTTTACTTTATTCATTATTATTTCTTCCAAATGTTAACCTGTAATTTGTATTTGACTTTTAATAAGATTGTGTATAATGTAATTCATTCTTCTGCACTGTGCTATGTCTGTAATTGGCCTTGCGGCTGTTGACTCGGCACATTAATAATAAAGAATTGAATTGAATTGAATTATTATTATTATACCTGTACCTTATATACTCGTGCTAACTTTGTAATTGGCCACTGTGCTGTCAAGTTATTGCACGTAAATAAACATGAATTGAATTATTATTACTAATATTATACAATTTCTGATTACTCATATACAGAGTCTGTCTGCAAGAAATTTGATGCGTTTAACCTTAAAGTTTCATACCGTCACAATATCTGTAATCATTGACGTACATAAGTATTTCATGCATAAGGTCAATATATAGACGTGTTTATGTTCTATGTTATGTGTTTAAGTCGACATGGTTAGTTCAGATGGTTCATTTCTTATCGCCATAAAACAGAAAGCTAAATAAATTTTCTGTACGGCACTCATATACTTGTACTGCATTATAAAAAGAAACTTAAACAACACTGATTGTTTTTCGGACTTATTATCGTGCATCGTTGGGGGCCGTATAAGACTTGCCGTTATGATAGCTGCCACCTCACAGTTTCGTGCGTTCGCCATGTTGTTGATACAGACTCTAAGAATTAAAAGTACAATATTGTGATGACGTCTAATGACATACACGTATAATTCATATTAAATTTCGTGAACTTCGGTCTGGTGGTTCGAAATTTGAAATAGGGGACACTTGGATAGAAGAGAGAGCCACACAGAAGCCAGACATACTGTCACACACACACACACACACACAACACACACACACAAACACACTCCTACAACTTCCCACAATGGTCTTGAAAACCTATCTCATATTCCGGAAGGATAAAGCCAGATATTGTCCTCTAGGAACCTGCTCTAATTATCATTCTTAATAATTTTGAATAAGCTGTCTGGATCATGTAGCATGCAGATACGAGGAGCAGATACAGAACTTTGGTCGCAAGCTTTGAGGTAGGGGACTGTTTGGAAGCCCTAGTCAAGCCTAATAGAGATACTACATCGGAATTTACTTGTAGGGACCAATGAAAACAACGAAAAACTTGAGTTAGGGTGGCCGAGTTTCGAAGCGAGCACCTCCAGAATAAGAATCTAGGACGTTAGCGCCAGACCACCACATTCAGCAATTTTCCACCCCACTCAAACATTTGGTACTGCTGAAATTCCGTTGAACAAGTAACGATATCTCTTGTAAATTACTGCAACTTGACAACAAACACATAACTAACACCCATCACATTAGTATGTCCCTATGTGTTGATATCACGAACATTCTCTGGGTTCATTAAACTTTAAGTGCTCAGCGCAATTCATTCCATGCCAACTGTTCAAGACGTCGGGACGCTGGCAAACTTTGTGAAGGGGGGTATTACATTTCTATCTAACTCCGACGCCGGCGCGCCATCCCTTTCTCTGGAACGGAGGTCGGTCTTGTATCGATTGCCAAAGCAGCACACTAGCGCCTCACTGCGGTAGCCAAGGGAAACAACGACTTACGAAACAGCTGAGGACTGCAAGATCACCTTTTGATGTTTTCTAGTATTTCATAAACCTTATATGATATGTTAAGTGTTTAGTCATTGGTGAAGGAATGGTAATTATGAAGACGTAAACAGATTCACTGCTGCAAATAGAGAACGGCTTTATTTCTGTTTTGTTTACTTATCCACAATGTCAGTGAGGGTGAAAGTATCATCATACAGAATTTGTGTTCGGACGTATTCTATATTACACTAACCACAACATTCAAGCTACTGGGGCATAAGGAGGACAAGGACATAATACAACGTATCATCAATGATTCAGGTACGGACGCTGATTGTTTATAGTTGCATTGTCAGTTTAAACAGTATGGCTGCAGTTGTTATGTGCTGTGAGACAAAGATTTTCGTTAATATCCTGCCGAATCTGAACACGGACACGGAGGTGTCTTTAAACTGTGTTCATTTTATTATGAAGGTTCATTACACGAATTGTCTAAGTATTACAAATATTAAGGAACGTATGTTAACCCACGCTATCATATTAGCAGATATCATGCAAATTAGTAGTGCTAAGTCCGTCAAAATTTGTGTGCCTGATGCCGGTCACGGTAGCCGAGTGGTTCAAGGCATGAACTGTCTTCGCTCTCTTGGAAGCCGGGGATCGTGGGTTCGAGTCCCACACAAGGCACGGATGTTTTGTATATGTATGTGTTTATTCTGTGCTTGTGTTGTCCTGCGTTTAGGTAGAGGCCTTGCGACGAGCTGATTACTCGTCCAAGGAGTCCTACCGTCTGTAAAATAATCAAAATGATAAAAACAACCTCGACACCGTAAGGTATAAGAGGAACGGATTAAGTAAGTAAATAAATAATGCCTGATGGTTCTGTGTGAATAGAAAAGATTAGCAACAGTTATGTTGGGATATAAAAAAGTAAAGCTATCCATGTAACAGGCCGTGAAGGCCCATAAGGTTGTGAGACGTTGAGGGTCCTACGTTATCTAGACAATCGGCTCAAAGATGGCGGTAAGGTTGTCAGGCTTACGCGCCGGCTGCGCTTTACTCAACAGAAAATTATTTAATTAATTCCTGGTATTCATTTCTATTAGAAGCTGCGTCGACCTCAGGGCCATAGTGCGGCCGGAAGGATTAGGTCAACTGAAAAAAATTCGGTGACCTCATCGGGACTTGAACCCGAGACCTTCCGGCTTTTATTTGTAATATTATGCTCCAGCGCGTATGTCGCTATGTATAATACGTGATAAACGTTAATTATTATAATGATATACAAGTTGGATCAAACGCGGCCCTTGATTACCGCGTATTGGTATACCTTAATGCTGTTACATTAGCCGTGGGTCAACTTGGGCAAAATATCTTGATATTTTTCATCAATACACTATTACCGGTAATTGGTTGGTTGAGGCACTGTGCTACAAATGGGAAGTTCGCGGGTTCGAGTGCCGATTAGGTGGATTTTTTAACTTACCTAATCATTCCTGGGGTCGACTCAGCTTCTAACAGAAATGAATACCAGGAATTTCCTGGGGGGTAAATAGCGTCCGGCGCGTAAGGCTGACAACCTCACCGCCATCTGAGAGCCGGTTCTCTAGAAAATGTGGGAGCCTCAACGTCTCAGAACCTTATGAGACTTCAGCGGTCTGTTAGAGGGATAGCTTTCCTTTCAGTAATTATTATTGTATTGCTATTACTATGACCACCTCTGTGGTCTAGTGGTCAGATTTCCTGGCTACAGATCCAGAGGTCCCGGGTTTGATTCCCGACGCTACCAGATTATCTGAGAAGTAATGGGTCTGGAACGGGGTTTACTCAGAGATATTGGGTTTTCGGACTTTATCCATCGTCCTGGTTTTAAAATAACTAAGAAAAAACACGACATTTCGAAAACTGGATCTGTTTCCGTCCTCAGGTGAGGGAGAACACCTATTCTGTTGGGTCCCTTAGAAAGAGCTAGCCTCAATCGTCCAGTGATTGAGGCTTGCTCTTTCTTATTGAAGGCCTAATATTGTGATCCTTTAATCTGGGTAAAAAAACTGCTAAATTGTATGTAGTAAAACACAAAATAATCTGAATAAAACGTCAAACATACCGTGACTTCTATTTTGATAAAAAAAACAGGCTGGGGGCCTGAGAGTATTTTCTCTTGTCAGGGGGGGCTCAGAGGTAAAAGGTTTGAGAACCACTGGTCTACTAGACAAAAAAAAAAAACTCTCCATGTTCTGCGAATTTAAATCACATCCTACACACCTGTAGCAAGTACGAGTATTTTATTGGTGCGGCATCTCTGTCCCTAAGCCAGATAATAATATCAGTGAAAGTGTCATATTTCTGAACATTATCCATCGGCCTATTTTTAATTTAAAACACGCAGCGTTTCGGAGACTGCATTCTGTGCCCTGTATTCAGGCGGAACCTACTCAGTTGGGCCCGATCGTTAGGGCTAGTCCCTATCTCCGGATTATCGACTGTGCCCAACTGAGTAGGTTTTACCTGAAGCTGGAGACAGAATCCAGTCTCCGAAACGTTATTTGTTTTAAATAAAAATAGGACGATGTATAAGGTCCAGAAATTTAATATCAGTATTAATGTACCATTGTCATAAGCTTTTAGATCTTAATAATAAAAAAGGTAAAGCTATTCCTGTAACAGGCCACGAAGGCCCATAGGATTGTGAAACTTCGAGGCTCCCACATTATCTAGACAGTCGGCTTACAGATGGCGGTGAGGTTGACAGCCTTACGCTCCTGATGCCCTTTCATTCATTCATCAGTAATCTGTCAGACGACAGGTCCACAGCCTCTTCCAAAACAGTTTCTCCACTTAATGTGATCTTCTGTTTTTGGAAAGAGACTATCCAGGAAAAGTGATAATGTGGTAGTTTTTCCATTTGCTTCCCATCGCAGTACAACAGCCGTTCAAACCACTCTGGTCACGCCTGTTGCTATACGAACTTGAACCATCTCGAGCATCATTTGCTCTGTGCTTCAAGTCGCTGCTGATGACGCTGCTTCCGGCATCAGTTTTTGGTTTTTGGTGTCTCTCTTCGTCTGATGCCTACCCTTTGACCTGTCCAGCAAGGGAGGCCCTGCCAGTAGCTACGCTACCGCTGGTATAGCTCTCAGGGTACTTGGCATACTCAAACTCAAACTCATACTCAAACCCCCTCACCACGATAAGGTGGAGACACCAACCCCCTTTACCCTTTACCCCCAAGAAAATTCCTGGTACTCATTTCTGTTGGAGGCTGAGTCAACACCAGGGCCATAGTGCGGCCGGATGGATGCCTCAACCAAATATTATACCGCGTGCCCCGAGATCTTAATAAAATGAGTGCTTACTTGTAACTTGGTATCAGTATATTTGAATAATCCGGGATAGCTCAGTTGGTATAGAGACGATGTTACGTGTTTAACGACCGAGGACTTGGGGTTCCGATTTTTGGCAGGGCGGGAGATTTTTCTCTTCTCCACAGCGTCCAGACCGGCTCTGGGGCCCATCCAGCCTCCTAACCAATGGGCCCTCGGGTTCTTTCCCCGGGAACAGTGCGGCAGGGGCCTGAGTTGATCAGTCACCTTCATCTAGTGCCGAGGTGAAGAATGCGTGGAGCGATGCCACCGCTCCCAATACGTCTCCATGGCGTGGTGCTTAATTAAGGGGAAGCGTTATATTTTACAGCATACTTGGCACTCATGTATCCATCTTATAAAATTGCACTGTGGGGTCTAGTTTCTGTACGTGGATAGATACTATAATGGGTGTAATGATCAAAGGTGCAGTGGCTAGGAATATTAATTTTGCCCTCGAGTAAATACCGGCGACGTTGGAAATTAACTGCAGGCATTGAAATTCAGTAACGAAATGCTGGGTGGGTTAAGACTGTAAAGTATATTTACGACTTTCTTGTGAAAAAATGCGCATAGTAAATAAAGCATATTTCTGAAGCATTTCTTTATATTATATTTACATAAATTACAGCTTGTACGAATGTCTTATTGCAGTGGCTTCGAAAAGTGTGTGGGTGGGTGGGTGGTTGGGCTGAATGTTGTGAGAAAGTTACATAAAACTGAATTGATTATAATTCTCAAAATGGCACATTTGTAAAGTTTAGACGAACATGAGGCGATAAACAAGTGGAGTAGTTTTGGTTTGAGATTTTTCACGGCGGTGACTTCTGGTTTATATCACTGTGTAGTTAGGAGAGACGTTTCGGAGGAATATATCGCTTCCATATTCGAGGTCGAAGAGTAAGCCAAACAAGAAACCAGTCGAAACAGGCAACTGTTCTCTTCTAAAATATAATGATTTTAAAACCGAGAAACAAATAAAAAAGCTGTTCTTTTGACACACACACACACACACAAAGTTAAGAAAAGGAGGGGTGGTGGCATATTGAAATCTTTCTTGTGCCGAAGGTGAACCGTTATGTAAGGTTCAAGCTTTACAGCAGAAAACAAGGTAGTGTTTTGAAATAGGCCACAGCTGTGTGCTACCCAATCATCTAAACATCGTCCTCTCACATTATGTATTCAGTAACCACTGAAACTGACACAGCATCGCTAAATAATCTATGTTAAATACAGTACATATACGTACATATATACTTTGTTGAATACAGAATTTATTATAATAAATTTATTTCTAATCTTCAAATTTGTATCTAAAATAGAGGTAAAATGTTCAAAGTTTTTAATTAATCATCACGCCATGAAGACATGTGGAGGAGTGGAGGTATAGCTCCATGAATTCTTAACCTCAGTACTAGAGGGAAGTGAGCGACTATTCGCATCTCAAAACGGATTCTGCTAAATTCGGCTATAGGCCTGTGTGTTTTTTTCATCCCCCGTTGTGTTTTAATTAAATTCTCATTACGCCAAAATTTAAATAGCAGGAGTAGCTTTGATAACGACTAGGCTCCGACTTGGACGACCGAGAAGTTTGGCTTCGATTCCTGGTAGGGTTAAGAGATTTTTCTCTTCTCCATAACATTTAGAGCGGCTCTGGGCCCACCCATCCTCCTATACAATTATTAACGGGGGCTGTGTCCCCGGGGTTAAAGCGGCTGGAACAACTAATGCCGAGGATAAGAGTGGCGGAGCTATACCTCCACTCTTCATACGTCTTCACGGCGTGATGCTTAATAATTAAGCCCAGAGATATCTTTACTTTAACCGCTATTTAAACCAAAGGAGTCCCTGATCTTACGTGAACATTCTCACACATATTCTCCGAATGAATTATTTTATCAGAGAATGTTTCGGTTTGGTTTCGTTAATCATCTTCAGAATTAATTATGTAATGAATAC